ACCACCCCCTGCGCACCTCCCTACGAGGCCGAGAAAGTGCCACACCTGCCACGCCCTGCGCCATGGCCCGCATAGACGCCGCGCTCAGAGACCACCCCCTGTGCACCCCCTACGAGGTCGAGAAAATGCCGCACTTGCCACGCCCTGCGCCATGGCCCGCATAGACGCCGCGCTCGGAGATCACCCCTGCGCACCCCCTACGGGGCGAAGAAAATGCCACACCTGCCACGCCCTGTGCCATGGCCCGCATAGACGCCGCGCTCGGAGACCACCCCCTGCGCACCCCCTACGCGGTGAGGAAAGTGCCACGCCTGCCACGCCCTGCGCCTTGCTGTGCTGTGCCGTGCTGCGCTGCGCTGCGTTATGCTGTGCTGCTTGAGAAGGAGAGGTGGCAGGGGGGGGGGGTGAGACGCGGGCGCGGCGCGGGCGGGAAGAAAACCAGAACCCCACGAAGCATGTGCGGAAAAATAAAAGTAGGGCGGATCTGGAATCAAGGTCTTCGGATATCGCGGCGCCGGCACACGGTCGCGACGCGCGCGAAGCGCCCCGAAGGGCGCCCTGGGCTCGATCGCTTTTCACACGCATGCGGTCAGCGATGCAAGCGATATCCCCGTCGCCACTTTGGTCGCGCAATGTTGCCAGGCCCCCAGCGGTTCGTAGCGCGTCGTCCTCGACTGCATCTCTGTGCGCGCGCATGTCCGCGGGCGGCCATTTGGCTGCTTTCCCCGACGGTCTCATCGCAGCTTTGTGTTTCGCCGACTCCACGCGCGGGGTCGTGAGATATTACCTCGCAAACGCAGCGCGCAGCGGTCTGACCCCATGTCTACGCGCGTCGCAACGCAACGATCTTGGACTGCCCCCCAGAGCGAGTGCCGCAGGTAATGTGGCCCAGTTGCTTCGGGGCACCATTCGGACTCATGTAAGTAAAACGTTTCTCTGAGTGGCTTCTTGCAGAGCGCGCGCGCGCGAGCTTCGCGCTGCGCATTGCCGCCCAGTGTCTTAAACGTAACCCGCGGGCGCCCGCGCCTGGCATTGCGCGCTGGCCCAGCGCCCCCCCGTCGTCGCCATCGCACCTCCCCCGCTTGCGCGGCGCAATCCGCGCCAACAATGACATGCATACTGCGTTGTTTAGCTGACTTCCGTAACCGCGCACTCGCATCGCACATTCCCTGGGCGCGGCTGCCTGCGCGGCCGCCGCGAGAAAAATACACCCCAGTGCGACCCTACCTAGAAGTTGGAGCCCCTAGGAAAGCAGCATTCGTTGCGATGCTATGTTATGATATGTTATGCCATGCTGTGCTGCGCTATGATATGCTATGCTATGCTATGCTACGCTATGCGATGTTATGATATGCTGCGCTATGCTATGCTATGCTGTGTTGTGCTATGATATGCTATGCTGCGCTATGCTATGCTGGGCTGTGCTATGATATGCCATGTTCTGCTATGCTAGAGCTCAGCGAAGCTAAGATGAAGGTAAGCTAAGCTGAGACAAACCTGAGCTAAGATGAAGCTAAGCTAGGCTAAGATGAAATAAGCTAGGCTAAGATGAGATAAGCAACGGTAAGCTAAGGGGAAGTAGCTGGGGGAAACGCGGGGCGGATACTGGGGGAACCGCCCGGGCTGGTTCCCACTCTCCGGCCCTGTAAGCCAAGAGAGTAAGAACCCTTCTAGGTTGAGCCTAGGTAGGGAACAGTGGCAGCGACCATATTGAGGGCCCGAACGACAACATGCGCAACGCGTTCGTTTATAGCCTGGAACTCCCGCATGCATGCGCCCCGACGCTCGCGAACCACAAACGCCGCGCCTCGCGTGGAATCGCCGCGCCCAGGCCCCATGAACACATGCCCACTAGGTATTTTCCAACGCTCTGCCGCCGCGCAACGCGCGGCCTCATTGATTGCGATGGCGCCCCAACGGCGTAATCTCAGTTGGGTAAGGAACTGTTCCACCTTTTCGTCGTTGGCGAGGCCCCGGATCTTCTCGCGTCGTGCAATAATCTTGCCATTCCCACTTATTCTCCGCACATCTGTACATGAGCGTAGTGGCGGTATCCTCTGGTGCCCCTTTGGTCGTCGCAGCCCCAGTCGCCGGGGCGACGGCAGCCCGGGCCCAATTTTGCGAACCTGGATCCTGCGGTGGAGCAGCCTGGACAACATCGCAAAGCTGTACTGTGCATGTTTGAATTGCGACCCCATTCAAGATATCATTCCTTTTACTCTCAGACAAGGTCGGGGGGGCCATGGGCGAAACATGCCAAGTCGGGATTTGGGCACCGTCCGTGGTTTTCGAAGGGCGGGCGCCGATGGTGAGGGATGCATCGCCGGAGTCGGAGCAGGCACGCCTATCGCGTATAATGCAAAGTGGTACATACCAAAGAACACTGCTGCAGGCATGTCGTCCTCCTCCGCGTCGTGTGGGACGTGGCGATGAGCGCGCCCAATGCGGCTCGTTAAATAAAGATGCGTTGGTCTTGAAGGTTTGTGCGAATCTTTTGGTAATGTCATTTGGTCGTGTCGATTTCAAACTAAGCTTGACCCGAGACAGGCATTCGGAGGGACAACGGATCTTGGAGAGTGGGTGCAGGAGCGGGAATTCGTCTGAGAAATGTGTCCTCGTACTGCCACTCGTGGATGTGCGCGGCGCTGGAACCGTCACATTCGACTCCCCCGCCATTTCTTCATAAACTCCTCCACTGTTTCCTCCACGTCGTTACGGGGCCTGGCCCAACAGTTTCTACAGTTCCATCGTCGTTGACCTTCCCCAGCAAGCCACCCCAGTTCTTGACAAGGCCCTTTTCCCATAATACTCGAATGTCATTATGTTGGTGTCCCCTGTTCATCACATTCTGCTTTATCTGACATAACGTCTTGTCGATAACTCGATGTTCGTACGTATTATTTCTGGTGAGCCACATGCGTTTCCCACATGTTCACGTTTCACCGATCGTCCACATGCGTTTCAAAAATCTGTTTTTCATTGATGAGATCTTAAACTCGACCACGCCAAATCGGGAAGGATCTATGAACGTGAACATGTGTGATGCCTTATCCTTCGTGCTGGCGCTTCCAACTTTCTGTTACAACTGCTGGTAAATATTGTCATCCTCCTCCCCCTCCTCGTTTTCCCATCCCCCGGCTAATACTTGTAGCTCGCTGCCTTCATCTGGTAGATTGTGTGGTAAAGGGTGTGAAATTGTTCTTGATGCGCTCTCCTATTGATTATTGCACAGCCTGTTTAAGATCAGATTTAGATACGTAGAGGTCTAGCTCGTCCTGCAAGTGATCCACCTGCATCTCGAGGTCATTCATGTGGTCGGCCACTTTTAGCGCCAACTCTGTCACTGCCTGTTTTGCGTAATGTGCCTCATCTTTCGCTTCTGGGATAATGATTTTAACATCGATGGTCCGCCTCGAGCTTTGCAAGACGAATTGCAAGTCGTTGTTCATATGCTCGAAACCGTTCGGGCGCAGCGCTCAGAGTCTGCCGCCAGCGTGGCAACGTCTATCAAAGCATGATCACCCTTGTTCGGTTTCTGCTTTTGGGAGTGAGTCCGGAACTCTGACCAACTCGTATCGACATCCCTGCCCGGCTCGGCGTCACGATCGTGCACGCAAACGTGGTGGGCTCACAAGAGTGAGAAGCCAAATTGAGTTCAAGTAAGCTATGAGCCAGTATGCCTCGAGACTTGCGCCAATGTGCGCTTGAGCCAAAATGGCTACGAGCCCGCCTCAGGATCTTCAAGCTTGCCAGCCCTAGCTGAATCGACCCGGATCGCAATCGAGCCGGAGAGACCTTCCCTTTGACGTCTTCCCCGCCTCTGGAGAGGTCCCAGGGTACGCCTCCCCGCCCCTCCCCCCTCCTCCTACCTGGAGCGCGTGACTCGGACGGTCTGGGGGCTAGCTTTACTACTATCTTTGGGCCACCAAGGCCTGATAGAGCACTCTCAAAGCCAACCTCGGCGCTCTCAGGAGCCTCACGGGCCGTCTTGGAGGCCCCGGGTGCCGGCCCAAGAGGCCCGAATCAGGGGAGCCCCTTCAGCGATTGTGTGGTTTGAACAACCTCGCCGCATCGGTGGCAGGAGCGTCCAGGACAGCCCAAGACCCCCCCCTCCCAGGACCAGCCCAAAACGGCCCAAGAGGTTCCCAAGACGACCACAAGAGGTCCCAAAAAGCACGCCGCTGTCGCCCCGCTGGAGGCACCCCCCTCTCCAACACGATCCCAAAGCCAGAACGAGGCCCACAAGAAGTCCCAGAAGACCCCAAGACGCACCCAAGTGGGCCAAAGGACCCCAGGCGCCCCTCGAGAAGCCTTCAAAATTAGCCCACTGGCGGGACGGTCCGAAAGCCTAGCAGATTTTTTCGCACTCGCCACCGCTGCCATTTGCCCCCGTCCCCCTCCCACATCTTCAATTCGCACGAAGTCCGCGTGCGATGATCAGGAATGCACATACCGATAACCATGTGGCACTATCCTTTTCTCACCCATCCCTCTGAACCCACGCGTCCATCATCAGTGGTGAAACCGCATTTTTCGTCTGGAAGAGAGCAATGCCAGCATCTATGGGACCGTCCCTGGAGAAATATAACGGATTCGCTGCGTTCCTCCTATGATCGACGCTCGGAGAAGGGCACAGATCATGCGCACACACACACACACACACACACACACCGCTCTGTTCACATCGACGCGTTGAGCGGCTGTGCCACCCATCTCTCCCACTCCCACCACCCTCCCCCCTCCTGGATGCAGGATGCTGGAGAGGGGTGGGTGGACCAGAAAACAAACAACACCACCCCACCTACGGCCGCACGGAGCTTAGCGTATACCAGGAGATCTGGCGTGGGCTTTTGTGTGGTATACGCAGCGGCGCCCGATGGGCCGTAGCGCAACATGGAGGGCCGTAGGTGGGGTGGTGTCCTCTGTTTGTTGCCGAACGGAGAGCACAACAACACATCTGCAAGCTCCTCCGACCTCCCGCTGCAGGAGCTGGAGCGCACCTTGTCTTCTCATCTCGGCCTCCACCGCATCCTCGGATGCCGCCGCCCGAACCGACGGGGGGGACGCAGCCAGGCAGCACAGCAAGAGCGCACCGGACGGGCGACGGGAGTCGGGAGGGCCAGGAGCAGGGCAGCGGAGCTGGGATCGGGGCGGGGGAGGAGCGGCAGGAGAAGGAGGAGGAGGAGGAGGAGGCGGAGGCGGAGGAGGAGGAGGAGGAGACGGATGATGATGATGATGATGATGATGATGATGATGATGATGATGATGATGATGATGATGATGATGATGATGATGATGATGATGATGCTGATGATGATGATGATGATGATGATGATGATGATGATGATGATGATGATGATGATGATGATGATGATGATGAGGATGAGGATGAGGAGGATGAGGAGGAGGAGGAGGAGGGGAGGAGGAGGAGGAGGAGAGGAGGAGAGGAGGAGGAGGAGGAGGAGGAGGAGGAGGGGGAGGAGGAGGAGGAGGGGGAGGGGGAGGAGCAGGAGGAGGAGGAGGAGGAGGAGAGGAGGAGGAGGAGGAGGAGGAGGAGGCGGGGCGGCAAGAGGCCGGGGGCTCCCACGCGCCCGGCGGGTTGGAGGGGAGAGGGCCGGAGGGCGGGCCGAAGCGACCGCTGCGGCGGAGGTGCCCTGCAGAGGGCGGCGCCTCGCCGCGGGGCGGATGGCGTGGCCGCCAGGCCAGCAGTTGGCCTCGCCATCGCTCGGACGTCCGTGTTTTGTGTTTTTTTCGGTTTCGTGCGTGGCTTTTTCGCCAAATGATCGGGGATGCTCCTGGATGGTCCTCGCCGAAGGAAAAGTGCACACGTCCGAGCGGTGCCAGGTGGCAGGAGCAGCGGCGAGAGCACGCGGGGGCGGGGGGACAGCGGCAGCCGTGCCGCGCGCTGGCTGGGGCAGCGGCAGCGGGACAGGGCATTTGTGAACGGCTCTCACGGCTGACATGTTCCATCGCCACTCTTGCTCCTCGTCTCCTCCCGATCACTATCCTCCTCCTCCTCCTCCTCCTCCTCCTCCTCCTCCTCCTCCTCCTCCTCCCCCTCCTCCTCCTCCTCCCGATTCCCTCCTCCTCCTCCTCCTCCTCCTCCTCCTCCTCCTCTTTCCTTCCTTCCTTCCTTCCTTACTTCCTTCCCCCCTCCTCCTTGCTCCTCCTCCTCCTCCTTCCTCCTCCTCCTCCGCCTCTTCCTTCCTTTTTCTCCTCCTCCTCCCCCCCCTACTTCTTCTCCCTCCTCCTCCCTCCTTCCTTCCCTCCCTCCTTCACTAGTGAACAGACAATATATTTCTCAGTCTCATCCTGGTCCTTCCCCTCTTTCTCCTTCTCCCCCTCCCCCCCCCCCATCCCCCCGCACCCCCCCTCTTTCCCACCCCTTACCACCCCCCTCCTTCCTTCCCTCCCTCCCTCCCTCCCTCCCTTCCTTCCCTCCCCCATACTGTCCACCCCCCCTCTTTCGCACCCCGAGCTCCTTCGCTATGTTCCACCTGAGACCCTTCAGCGGCGACCTCGCGCTGATGAGGCGCGCGTCTGGCGGCAAGTTGGCCTCGTTGCCTGCGGCCCCCCTCCCCGCCCCACACACCGGGCAGACGGGGCCGGGGTGGTCTGAAGAGAACCCGGCCGGCGCCCGAACGCACGGGGGAGGGCGCCAGCTGCGATACGGCAACCAAGCGATCAGAGAATTGATCCGGCAGGGACGGTTCAACAAATAATACCACCAGCCCCCCTGGGCGTAGGTGGGCAAACAATATATTTCTCTCCTCTTCCGAACCATATTTTCCCTTCGGGGAGGGGTACCCTCCCCATCCACTCGGTGAGGTTTTCTGGGGGGCGCGAGCGGTCAGGGCACCCAGGATGGCCCAATATGGCTCCAACAGGGCCCCCGATGCTCCAAAATGGCCTCCGATGGCTCAGGATAAACGACGATGACTCAAGATAGCTTCCGACATAACTCCAAGAGGTCCGCCGAAGGCCACGCGACGGTTCCAAGCGCTCTCGGAAACCCCAGCAGCACCCCCCAATGATGCCAACATTCTTCAACAACCGTAAGGAAATCAATGACTTGTACGTTCTCGCCTTTTCGATGTTGCTGGGCTTTTGAAACCTCAAGGGTGTCCCGAGATTCACCGATAGCTCGTGAAGGGTTAAGAGAGCTTTACAGTATAAACCAGCAGCACAAGGTAAGCCAGCCTCCTCTCCACGGTTCCCGGGCAGGCGCTCTCGCAAAATATTGCTTCAACTTGCAGCTTGTTCTGTAAACGTTTTCCTACTCGTTCCCAACGCGCGCGCTGGAAGCCTTCGCGAAGCTCCGTCGAAGCGCTTCGGGGGCTCGTGCGAAACTCCCACTCTGAAGCTTGCAAACCCAGGCGTCCTTCCAAACGTCCTTGCAAACGTCTGCCGAAATGAGCTCAATCGAAAAGCGCCGTGCGCTCCTTCGCTCATTGTCCCGACGGCCCTTCTCGGGGCCCGAAACGGCTCCGAAACGGCGTCCGACACGGGCTCGAATGCCGCGTCGTTCCCAGCGCGCTTCGGGGGCCAAGTTTCGCTCGCGAGCTCGAATTCCACATCCTTCCCAGCGCGCTTCGGGAACCGAGTCTCGCTCCAGCCTGGGCGGGGCGATGCCTCGGCACCCAGGATCGGCCACTTCGGCCCCCAGCAACACCGCTTTCGTTCAGCTCCATCCGTCGGAGAAACCACGCAACGCAAACTTTGATGACCTTCGCCTGGCTGGGGCGCATATTACAGCCGCTGCTCGGACATGGCAGCGCTGGGCACCGTGCTTATATACGCTACGGAATACGGGCCTTCGACCTGGAACGAAGCGCGCACATGTTGTCAGACGTCTCGCACTCGCGAACCTAATATAACCCGAAGAATGCCCGCTGCACCGCTCGCGCCGGCGATGGCGAATCTGGTATCGTAGTCGTGATGCTGCCTCCAGAGTGGTATTTTTCTGCATGCCGATGCCTGCGCCGTTCTCACCTCGCTCTCGAGGAAGCGCCGGGCGTCCGACACTTTTTCGTCGGCGGCTAGGCAGGGGTCGTCTGCGATGGCGGATGGCTAACTAAAAGGCGGGCAGGCGAAGGCCCCGCAGGGGGGGCGGGTCGCATCCCTGGGCGGGCTGGCGCGGCAAGCCCCGCCGGCGGGGACTGCAGCGACTGCTGCGCCCGTGCGCCTGCTGAGGCGGGGCCCGTTGCGGGCGCTGCAAGTGGGCGAAACCGCGGGTCGCCGACGTAGATCGCGAGTTGCAGGGCCAGCGGGCCGCGCGCCGCCCCGGCGGGGGCGCAGGATGAGGTGCGGCCAGTAGAAAACCATCGAGGTTGGACTGCATCCAGCAAAAAGCCGCGTCAACGCGGGGGAACAGGCGGCGAGGCAGGGCCCTGGATCCCGAGCGCGAAGTGGCTGCGGGTGGCAGCCCAGGCGCCGCGGCGGCGCGCGGAGGGAGGGGGCGGCCCCCGCTGCCCGGGTGGGCGGGGTGGGCCGAGGGGAGGGCCAGGGCGGCCGCTCGCCGCTAGGGCGGGCAGCAGGCGGCGCTCCGTGGCCAGTCAAAACTGCGGCTGAAGCCGGCGGCCCCCGCTGCCACATGGTGGACAGGGTGGGCCAGGTCGCGGCGCCCAGTCGGCGCGGGGAGGCGCGGCGCTGCATCCCGCCATAGGGATCGCAGGGGCGGCGAGGCGCGGCGGAGCAAGCAGCGCAAGCAAGCGGCGTCGCGCCGGCGAAGGTTGCGGGCGCCGCCGCCGCGCAGAGCGCAACATCTGCCCCGGGCCGCCCTGAGTTCAACCTGTTCGCTGCGCCCTCCTGACCCCCGCCACCAGGGCCCCCGTCGAGTTGAGGGAGTCGAGCAGGGCGCGTGCTGGGGCGTCGCCGCGACGCGCCTGCCCCTTGCCTCGCTCTTGTCCGAGGCGAACGAATCCCACGCGGCGCGGGCGCCCGGCAAAGCGGACCAGGAGGTGTCTAGGAGCAGGAGCTCGCGCCGCGCAGGCGGAAGTGTCTCCCCTCGCAGACTCGTGCTGGGGCAGCCCTCGGCGCAGGCGCCGCCAGCGCCCGTCGCTGCTGGGGGAGAGCGAGGAGCCTCTGGGGCGGGCGGCGGGTTCGCCGCGCATCGCCCCGACTGGATTGCGCTGCTGGGCCCCGCTGCTCACGATTGCGCTGCCGGGTTCCGCTTTCTGGCCGTGGCAACGAGGGGCATCCGGGGCGCGCGTCGGCGAGGGGTCGGGGTCGGGGTCGGCGTCGTCGTCGGGGCCGGCGCCGGCGCCGGCGTCGGCGTCGGCGTCGGCGCGGGCGTCGTCGTCGTCGGCGTCGGGGCAGGCGTCGGCGTCGTCGTCTGGGGCCAAGGCCGCATGGGTTCCGCTTTCCAGCCGTGGCGACGAGGGGCGTCCGGGGCGCGCGTCGGCGACGGGGTCGGCGTCGGCGTCGGGGCCGGCGCTGGCGCCCGAGTCGGCATCAGCGTCGGCGCGGGCGTCGTCGCCGTCGTCGCCGCCGTCGGGAAAGGCATCGGCGTCGTCTTCCTGGACCAAGGGCGTCGCGGGGCCACCTTCAGGGGCGCCGCCTCCGCCCGTCGGAGGGCGGGGGCTGCCCGATCCGCTGTCAAAGGAGGGCGGGCGGATGGGGGCGATGGGGGCCTCGAGCAGGCGATCGAGCGCGGCCCCGTTCGCCTATCTGATCACCACCCCCTCCCAGGGCAGCGGCGCCGCGCCGACCTGCGGGGGGGCAGGCTACCGGGCGGAGCGGCAGCCCGAGGACCTCCAGGCAGCGGCGGCTGCGCGAACCGTCGGGCGCGCCTTGCCAGGGGGGCACATTGGCAGACGGCTGCATCAGAGAGGATTGCGCGGACCTGGCCATCTGCGCCCAGTGCTCGAACCCACGAGCCAGGGGGCGAGTCAGCGGGGGCGTCTGCGGTCGAGCCAATGGTATCGGTCGCCCCCGCAGCCCTGCCCCGCTGCCTGGTTCCGCGCGATGCCCGAGCGCCTCGCTGGCGCTGCGCGCCGCTTTCGCCCGCGAGCCTGGGGTCGCCCGGGGCAGGGCCCAAGCCCGCCTCGCGCGCCGGCCGCGCCGCGCCGCTTGCGCCGGCCCCGTGCCAGAGGGCGCCGTTGCTCGCAGTGGCTTCCCAGAGGCCCTCTGGTTCTATCAGCTAGAACCGGGCTACAACGGATCTATCCATGTCATGGTTATATCATGGATAGATCCGAAACACGTGTTGTTTCACGTAAAAAGCGCCTTGCAAGGCGCGCGCCATTGAAGAGCGCGCAATAAAACAAACGCGCGCGACCGCGCGAAGATCGCAACACCAAATGCACAAGTTTATCCGCCAAAATGGCTACTGCAGGAGGATGCGGGGCGAACGTCAGGGATAACTTCGATGACGGTGGCGAGGATGACCGATTGGTTGGACGCATTGCGTTGCTGAACCGCGTTGTGTTCGGACGTTGGTTTGGGCGCCAACGTCTATATGGGTCAGCGATGTATTTCCGCGGACGCCGCGACGCATGGGGCACAACTAAAGAAAACGGACGCGGCCCCGCGCCCATATTAAGGGTAACGCGCCCTTGCGCGCGCGCGACCGCGTGAACATTATAGGCGAACTGCGCGAGGAGAGGGAGGTGAGGAGGAGCAAAAGAAGGAGGAAGAGGAGGAGGAAAAGGAAGAGGAGGAGGAGGGGGGGAAGAGTCAGCGGGCGGAGGCATCATGGGGGAAGGGGGGAGGGGCACAAGAGGAGGAGGAGCAGAAGCAGCAGCAGGAAGGGGGGGGGGACGAGGAGGAGAAGAAAGAGGAGGAAGAAGAGGAGGAGGAAGATAATGAGGATTGTAGAAGAGAAGGAGGAGGACGAGGAAGAGGGGGAAGAGAAAGAGGAGGAGGTTGGAGTAGGCATGAGCGCTGATGATGAGAAGAAGGATACAAAAATCGCAACGACGGAGGAGGAGGAAGGGAGAAGGAGACCAAAGAGGAGGAAGAGGAGGATGATAATGAAACAAGAGAGGGCGAACGACCCAGGATGAGAACAGAGGGGAGTGATCGAATGAAAACTGTTCCGCCAAGTGTCCCGAAGCTGCGCGTCGAAGGAAAACTGCCCCGCCAAGTGTCCATGTTTTCTAAAGACGCTCTCGTCTGCGAGTGCGACAGCGCTCACGCAGGCAGCCTCGGCGGCGCGAAGCATTGACATCATCCCGATCGTCATCTAACCCACTGAACTTAAAACGCGAAGCACTAGTTGGGCGCGGGGCGCCGCGAGACCAGTCCTTCGGGCCCTGGCGCCGCAGGCGCCGAGCGACGCTCGAGGGAATCCCGGCCGAGGATAAGACCGCAACCATCTCTGTTGTCCCTCGCTCGGAAAGTCCAGGGTTCAGGAGGGGCAAGCACGCCTTCTGTATGAATGCGGCATGCAAGGGCGGGGACATGGAGGTGTTTGCGTTTTTCCCCTGGAGCAGGGCTTCTTGTTCGAGCCGCGCTTTCTCTGCAGCCTCGGGAAACTCGGCCGCTTCCTGATGGGGCGGGTCTGAGCACAGACCGATCGTTCGACGCCTTCCCCCCCCCCCCTGCGAGCGGGGGGGCGCGAT